TGCATAAAATAAAAATAATAAATATTTTTTAAAATGATCTTTTAAATTTCTGAATTTCCTCATCTGCTGTAGTTTCCTTTTTCTCTTTGATTTTATTATTTTATTTTATTTTTTGGCCTTTTTGAGACAGGGTCTCCCTGTAGCCCCAGATGGCCCAGAACTCACTATGTAGGCCAGGCTGGCCTCAAATTTACAGATATCTGCCTGCTTCTGCCTCCCAAGTGCTGGGATTAAAGGCATGCACCACCACACCTGGCCTTCTCTGTGATTTTATTAATTTGTGTTCTCTCTCTTTCTTTCAGATAATTTGACTAGAGGTTTGTCAATCTTGTTAATCTTTTCAAAGACCAGTTCATTTCATTGATTCTTTTTTTTTTTTTTTGTTTCTGCTGAGCCATCTCTCCAGCCCCAATCTCTTTAATCTTTTAAAAGAACTATTTTTCATTGATTTTTTTGTTGTTTTTGTTTCTGTTTCATCATTGATTTATTTTTTGTTTCTATTTCATTGATTTCAGCCCCTGATTTTGATTATCTCTTCCCATCTAGTCTTTTTAAACAATGTTTGTTCTTGTTTTTCTAAGGCCTTCAGGTGCATCATTAAGTTATTAATATGAGATTTCTCCAGTTTAAAAAAATATTTTATTTTTATTATTTTTTATATGTATGAGTGTATTGCCTGCATGTGTGTAAGTGCACCATGTTGTGGAATGCCTGTGGAGTTCAGAAGAGGGCGTTGGCTTCCTTGGAATTGTTGTTACAGATGCTTGGAGGTGTTGGAATCAAACCTGGGTCCTCTGCAAGAGCAACCAGTGCCCCAGCCCTCCAGTTTTGGTTTTTTTTTTTTTTGTCTTTTTGAGACAGAGTCTCCCTGTAGCCCGAGCTGATCTTGAACTCACTATGTAGACCAGGCTGGCCTCAAACTCTCAAAGATACTCTTGCCTCTGCCTCCCAAGTTCTGAGATTAAAGGCATGTACCATCACGCCCAGTATATATATAGACACTTAGTGCTATAAACTTTCCTCATAGGACTACCTTCATTGTGTCCCATAGATTTTGATATGCTGTGTTTTATTTTCATCCAATTCTGGGAAGTTTAAAGTTTCCTTCTTGATTTCTTCCTGGAACCGAGTTTGTTCTGTAATTTCCATAAGTTTGTGTGCTTTTTCTCACTTCTATTGTTGTTGATATCCAGGCTTGTTCCTTTGTGATCAGATAGGATAAAAGATGTTATTTCAATTTTCTTAAATTTTTTGAGACTTCTTTTGTGTCCTAATATGTGTTGATTTGGGAGAAAATTCCATGAACTGCTGAAAAGAAAATGTATTCTTCTGAAAAGAAAGTGGTGTTTGGGTGGAATGTTTTATAAATGTTTGCTATATTCATTTGATTTATAATGTCATTTAACTCCAGAGTTTCTCTTGTTTTTGTCTGGATGACCTGTTCATTGGTGAGAGTGGGGTATTTAAGTCACCTACCATCATGGTGTTGGAGTCATTCTGTGATTTTTTAGATCTAAAAGGGTTTCTTTTATGAAATTGGATGCCCATATTTGGTGTACGTATGTTTAGGATTGTGATAGCTTCTTGTTGGATTTTCCTTTAATGAACATGAAATGTCCTTCCCCTATCTCTTCTGATTAGTTTTAGTTTGAAATCTATTTTGTCAAACATTAGAATAGCTATGCCTGCTTGTTTCTTAGATCTGTTCCCTTAGAATGCCTTTTTCTACACTTTTACCCTTGTTGCAGGTTTCCTCACAGGTCCAGCCCATGAGGGACTGCAGGGAATGAGGGTTCTGGCTGAGGTGGGGGTGAGTGGCATGGAATCAACACACACTCTGGGAGCCAGATGAGAGCAGGCACTAGGTGAGGTGCTGCAGACTCATTTATTGCAGGGAAGTGCAAGCCTTATACTCTGCCCCCAGTGTCCCATAAGTTGGTGTGTTGCTTCCTGATAGATCCCTCATCCGGGCATATGGTAGGTTGGCTATTTTGCGGAAGTGCGGGCTGCACTCTCAAAGCAGAAGCTGTGTCTCTTAGGGCAGCCTGTGCTTAGGTGTGGCACTTCCTATCCTACATACCCTAAGATGATGTCAATCATTGATGGCAAGATGTGTTTCTTGGAGGCAGCAAAAAGATGAATTCCTAATTCTTCTATTCTATTCTGTTCTACTCCTATTCTATTCTATTCTATTCTATTCTATTCTATTCTATTCTATTCTATTCTACTTTCTATTCATTTCTTTCTTTTTTCTTCTTTCTTCCTTTTGTTTCTTTCTTTTTTGAGAGCAGGACTCTCTGTAGCAGCAGCTGGTCTAAACCTCACTATGTAGACCACGCTGGCCTCAGTCTCACAGGGATCCACCTCCATCTGCCTCTGGTGTGCTAAGATTAAAGGCATGTGCCACCACACTCAGCAGGATCCCATTTTCTAATCCAATCAGTTAGTCTGTGTCTTTTAAAAGTTAGTTTATTGTTTAATTACTTAATTTTATGTGTATGAATATTGTACCTGAATGGATGTAAGTGCACTCATGTCACGTAATGCCCATGGAGGCAAGAAGAGGGCATTGGATCCCCTGGAGCTAGAGTTATGGACAGTTGTTGGCTGCTATGTGGGTTCTGGGAACCAAACTCAGGTCCTCTTCAAGAGCAGCCAGTGCTCTTAATGGTAGAGCCATCTCTCCAGCTCTGTCTGTGTCTTTTTATTGAGGAATTGAGTAATGTTAAGAGTTATTACTGACCAGTGTTTATTAATACCTGTTACTTTTTTGTGGTGGTATTTTCTTTGACTTCTTCTGGTTGACTGTTCTGGAATTGTTTATTTTTTATGCTGTTTTGGGAGTCTTTAATCGTCTCTTCAGTCTAAAGTATTCATTCTGGTATCTTCTGTAAAGGTGGCTTAGTGAGCAAAAATTCCTTAAATCTGTTTTTATCATGGAACATTTTCTTTTCACTGATCATGATTGATTGTTTTGCTGGGTATGATAGCCTGGGTTGGTATCTGTGGTCTATAAGAATTTGTAGAACATCAGTTTACGCCCTTCTGGCTTTCAGAATATCCACTGTAAAATCAGGTGTTATTCTGATAGGTCTGCCTTTATATGTAATTTGATCTTTCTCTCTTGTGGCTTTCAGTATCCTTTATTCTGTACATTTAGTGTTATTATCATTATGTGATGTGGGGAATTTCTTTACTGGTCCTATTTGGTGTTCTCTATGCCTCTTGGAGCTTGATAGGCATCTCCTTCCTTAGATTGGGGAAATTTCTTTCTATAATTAAAAACATTTTTAAAAACTATTTTATTTATTATTTTTTATGTGTATGCATGTATTGCTTGCATGTAGGTAAGTGCACCCATGTCGTGTAATCCCTGAAGAGGACAGAAGAGGCTGTCAGATCCCCTAGAACTGGAGTTACAGACAGTTGTTAGCTGCCATGTGGGTGCTGGGATTCAAAACTGGGTCTTCTGCAAGAACAGCCAGAGTTCTTAACTGCTGAGCTATTGCTCCAGCCCTCTTTCTATAATTTTTGTTGAAAATATTACATGTTAATTGGACTTGGGTTTCTTCTCCTTCTCTATCTATGGTTCATAGGTTTGATATTTTTTGTAGTATCCCAGAGTTCATGCACATTCTGTTCCTGAATGTTTTGCGTTTATCGTTTTCTTTGAATGGATCAATTTCTCTATCTTGTCTTCACTACTTGATATTCTCTTTTCCACCTGAATAATTGTCTTGGTGAGACTGTACACTTAGTTCTTTTATTTCACTGATTTCTCATTTCAAGTTTTATTTGAGTTTAACTTCTCTTCAGAAATTCTAATTATTTTTTTAATTATATTTTCAAATCTTGGATTATTTTATTTCATTAAGTTATTTGTGTGTGTTTTCACAAATCTTCACTTTGAAATTTGTGCTTGTCCTCTTTTAATTTGTTGAATATATTTATCATTGCTATGAAATAAATATTTTTTCCTCAATGAGGTTGTTCCCAGGGAATATTTTAGTGGCTGTACTGATTTATGGAGGAGACACATTGTTTTCATATTGTTCATGTTTTTGTGATTGGAGGTGGGGATCCCTGGCAAGAAGCAGCATTGTCTTTGGGGGTGGTGGCCTGAATTCATATCTCATATCTTGCATTGCCTTCCATGTTTCATTTAGCTCTTTGTGTTCTCATTCAAGAGCTTATTTTCTTTGATTTCTTTCATCGTACTTTAATCATTCTTTTAAGTTCTCTCCGGATTTCAGCTAACTCATTCTCCTGGATGTCAATACTATAGAATTAGTAATTTTTGGAGGAGTTATGTTTCCTTGGTTTTTCATGTTTCTTTTTCACATATCTGGGTTTATTTAATTATTTGAATTTTTTCTTTTTAATCAGCTGTATTCTTTCATTTGAAGGATTTGCTATGTTCAAGCGGGACTTGAATTTGGTAGAGTTCAGTTGGGTAGTCTAGGAGCCCAGGGTGCCTGTTGCAACTTCTATACTACTCTCTGAGTAGTGGGTCAACTGGGAGAACAACCTCTGCTGCTAGATATTCCCTCTATGCAAATGTGGTATATCCCAATTAGCAGTAGTGACCCCTTTGACTTCAAAAACTAGAAAGGATAGTGTGGGTGTACTGGAACTTTAGCTACTAAGATTAGGTGTGGGAGGAAGTAGGAGGGTGATTATAGGGATCAGTATTAGGTTGACTTTGAAAAGAGTGAAAAACACAGCTGGGAAGAGAAAGTTGGGACATTGTTAGAGTGTTTGTGTATAGTGCACCCATGTCGTGCAATGCCTGTGGAGGTCAGAAAGAAGGCATTGGATCCCCTGGAACTGGAGTTATAGATGGTTGTTAGCTGCCATGTGGGCATTGGGAATCAAACCCAGGTCCTCTGCAAGAGCAACCAGTACTCTTAACTGCTAAACCATCTCTCCAGTCTCAAATTTTGCATTTGTCACTTTAAAAATTAGTAATCCATACTCTTCAAATGTCTGTATTTTGCTAGATACTGACAATATGAAGCCACTGGAGGGAGTGAGAATTCTGGATCTAACAAGGTTTGTATTTGATTATCTGCATTTTGGTGACTGAGTTTTTCTGTTTTCTCAAAAAGCTTTATTAGTTTTTGTATTATAAAGGGTACTTACATTCTAACATTGAATTTTGGTGAATAAAAAAAATTCTGGAATATCATCATCATCGTCTCATTATTGTTATTATTTGGGTTTTTGTTTGTTTATGTTTTTGGTCTTTTTGAGACAGGGTCTTCTTGTAGCCCCAGTTGACCTGGCACTTGCTATGTAGATGAGGCTGGCCTTGATCTTACAGTGCTTCACTTGCCTTTGCCTCCTGAGTGCTGGGACTAAAGGCGTGCCCCACCATGCCTGGCCTGAATATCATTATTTTTAAAGACAATGTAATATTTACAAAATTTTGTCCATTTACACATTTGCATATTACTAAAGAAACTTAAGATTTGGAATTTATATTGCTGTTATGTTATACCTACATTTTAAACATACCATTTTATTTGAATAATTTTCTGTGATAATCAAAATTAAACAAAAATGAGATTTATAAATGCCACACAATTGCCTCATCATTTCAATATTTTACTTTTATAAATTAGGTTTCTTTGGGTACAAGTTTTTGCCTCAATTTCAATTTATTTTTCAGCATAGAATTATACAAATAAAATTTTTGGATCAAAGGGGATATAGTTTTTTAAAACTTTTGATAAACAGGGCCAAATTACAATTTTTACAGTTTTTATTTTTCCTCACCTTATATGAGCTTATCTGTGTTAATATACTTTCATGATGACTGTTTATCTCTCATTGTTTAACATTGTAGAGTATTGGCAGGACCTTTTGCCACTATGAACTTAGGAGATCTTGGAGCAGAAGTTATAAAAGTGGAAAGACCAGGTAAGGCTACTGCTTCTTTTAAAAAGTACCGATCAGACTAATAAATACTTTGAATAATTCTTTAAATAACCAGGCTTAGTGTGCCTGTAAATGGGATGAGGAGATAATTGAAATGAAGTTTTTATTCTCCATTCCTTCTCTTACTCTGCATTTATGTTAATTATATTTTATTATTTAAATTTGTTTATTTTTATTTTACGTGTATGAGTATTTTACCTGCATAGTATGTAAGTGCATAGTATGTAAGTGCACTATGTGTCTGTAATGCCCACAGAGGCCAGAAGGTGTCAGATCTCCTGGAACTGGAGTTTCAGATTGTTGTTAGCTGCCATGGAGTTGCCGGGAACTGACCCTGGGTCCTCTGCAAGAGCAGCCAGTTCTCTTAACTGCTGGGCCATCTCTCCAGTACCTATCTTTTATTCTTGTCAATTCCTTCTCATATACAGGAAGGTTCTATTAAAATATATAATTATAAGCCAGGCATAATGGCTCCTGCCTTTAATCCCAGCACTCTGGAGGCAGAGGGAGGCAGATCTTTCTGCGTTCAAGGCCAGCCTGGTCTACATAGTGAGTTCCAGGCCAGCTGAGGCTGTTGGGAGACCCTGACTCAAAAAGACCAAAAACAAAATGAAACAAAAACCACAACCCCCCAAACATATGTAATTATAATGATAAGGGCAACATTACAGTCCCAGGCAAAGTTCTAAGCCCTTTGATGGTTTTAGTTTAATCTTTATAATAACCCTATGGGCTAATGTTGCTATTCTTAATTTAGAAGTGAGAAAATGGAGGTAAGAAGAGGTAGGGCAGTTCCTTCAGGCCCACATAGCTAATAAGGAATATCCAGGTCCTTGGCTCTGATCTTGATGCTCCTAAGCACCATTTAAGTGGTTCTGTGAGTGAGTGTGACTGTAAGATGAAGCACAAGGGAGGAGAAAAGGGAAGAAACAGGATGAGATGGGGAGAAGGAAAAAGATTAAAGTCCTTCAACCAAGGACACAAATACCTCAGCTTCAGCCATGATTTTCTAATAAAAGAAGTATTTCCCCATCTTATTGTTTTAAGGGAACAACAGCTAAAATTAGATCAATTCCTTGTTGGTTCTGGCTTTTTTTTCTTTCTAGGGATAGCATCTCTCTACATAGCACAGGCTAGCCTGGAACCTCACAGACTCAGAACACTAAGTGCTAAGATATGACATCTTTCCAGTGCGTTCTTTTTCCTTTGTTCACAAAGGAAACATGTTCTGTGTACATAATTCTTGTTTTTATTTGGTGCCTTCTTAGCACTTTGGTGGTTAATGTATGCTGTTTTCGACAGTGTTGCTCAGAAAAGTGTCATTGTAGCATGCCTTTTCTCTCTAACACGCACTTCCACAAAATCCCCATTCTTCTTGTCCTCTACACCACCCTATCACCTGACATTTTAAAGTTCTCAAAAGTTAATATTATTGCCCTGGTGTTTTGTACATGTGCAATCCCATCACTGGGGAAATGGAAGGAAGAAGGATCAGTCATTCTTTGCTACTTAGTGAGTTCTAGGCTAGCCTGGGCCACATGAGACCATGTCTCAAAATAACAGCAACAATAAAATACATTATTATTTACATTGAAAGATATGCTCCTCAAGGGTCTGGGAGAGAATTCTCAAATCAATGATCTGGTCTAGTACTGAATAGTATGCATAGTATTCATAATTTGTAATTATAAGAGAATAATTTGTAATTATATCAACTTGTAAACTTACCATAACTGATAGAGCCTTTAAAGTACAATACTTAATCTAGAAAATTCAATTTCCTGCTAAATAGGTCTTCTGAGGAGGCCCAAACAGCAGACAGTTGTCTTAGCAGCACGGGGAATATTGCTATTTTATCCTGCTTTACTCATCTCAGCCGGTCAAGCCCTGCTTCCCAGAGGCCTTGCTCACCTGTCCTGTCAATGACAGTCACTACCTTCTATCATTGCTGGCCATGTGCTGAGGAATGTTTATCTTCTTATGGAATGTCCCCATCTCTTGTACTTGTTTCCACCAAGTTCTGACTTCCTTACTGTGATCCTGTTTCAGTACTACAGTCAATACTACAGCTCTTCCTTCCTTCCTTCCTTCCTTCTTTCCTTCCTTCCTTCCTTCCTTCCTTCCTTCCTTCCTTCCTTCCTTCCTTCCTCCCTTCCTCCCTCCCTCCCTTCCTTCCTTGATTCCTCCCCTCCTTTTTTTGGACGATTTTGCTAGGTAGTGCAGGCTGGTCTTAAACTCATCATCCTCCTGTCTCAGTCTCCTCTCCTAAATGCTGAGGTTACAGGCCTTGATTTCAACCACTGCTTTTCTTGCATCTTCTGTTCATAGATAGAACATCCAATCTAGTTTCTCTTGCCATTTCAGCTGGTAATCAAGATGACATTTGCATTTGTACTTATGTTGCTGTGTGGATTCTCCATCTCTGCCTCCCAGGTGTTGGGAGCATAGGCAGACTACAACATGGCTTTATACCCAGCCTCTGTTTTTGCTTTTCTGATTTGTTGTTACAGAAATATCCTGTAGATTATTCCATTACCAGTCCCCAATGCTACTTTACTATATAAACTCATATTATTATTCTGGTTTAAGTAATATTTAACATGACTTTTGTGGACTTCATATTTTCATTTCATAATGTCAAGAAATACTGAAAGAACTAACAAACTTGTTTGCCAAAATGTAAAAAAATTTCCTCTAACTTTTGCTGTTTATCAAATCTAAGGATTACTAGCACACTATTTCCTTCTGGATTTTGATCTTCAAGAATCCAAATTAGTGTAAGAAAAATGAAAGGATTTGGTAGATGGCATAAAACATGGAGAGCTCTGGCAGCTCCAGTGAGCTTCATAGCTCCTGAGGAGTGAGGATTCCTCAGGATAATCTGATATCTTCAGGTTCCTGGGAACATATGTGGGTTTAAGCCTGTGGTTTAAAAATGCCTTATGGTGTTTTGAAGCTAATAATCCATATTGTTATTTACAGGAGCTGGTGATGACACACGAACTTGGGGACCTCCTTTTGTGGACACAGAAAGTATATATTTTCTCAGCGTCAATCGAAATAAAAAAGTAAGAATACTATCCATCTTTGCTTTATTTGTTTTCTTGATCAAAAAAATTTTTATTATTTTTATTTTAGTTGTATTGCCTGCATATAGGTAAGTACACCTGTGTCATGCAATGCCTGTGGAAGACAGAAGAGGCTGTCGGATCTTCTGGAACTGGAGTTATGGACAGTTGTTAGCTGCCATGTTGGTGCTGGGATTCGAACTCAGGTCTTCTGCAAGAACAGTCAGTGTTCTTAACCACTGAGCCATCTCTCCAGCCCCCATGTTTTCTTGATTTTTAAATAGTTTATTTATTTTTTATGTGTATGAGAGTTCTGTCTGTGTCTGTGTAAGTGACTTGTGTATACAATGCCTACAGAGGCTGGAAAGGGCATTGGATCCCCTGGAACTGGAGTTACAGGGGTTGTGAGCCACCATGTGGGTGCTGGGAACTGAACCCTAGTCCTCTGCAAGAGCAATCAGAGTTCTTAACTGTTGAGTCATATGTCCATCCCCCTGTTTTATTGATTTTAATTCTCTTGGCAGTTATAAAACTTTTAAAAAAATATTTTATTTATTATTTTTATTTTATGTGTATGCGTGTATTGTTTGCATGTAGGTAAGTGCACCTGTGTCATGCAATGCCTTTGGAAGACAGAAGAGGCTGTCAGATCCCCTGGAACTGGAGCTACAGACAGTTGTTAGCTGCCATGTGGGTACTGAGATTTGATCCTGGGTCTTCTGCAAGAACAGTGTTCTTAACCACTGAGCCATCTCTCCAGCCCCCAGCAGTTATAAAACTTTGGATGACATGAATTTTTAATTTTTTATCTTTTGGTTATTTGAGACAGGGTCTCCCTGTAGCTTCACCTGGCTTTGAACTTGCTATGTAGACCAGGCTGGCCTCAATCTCACAGAGCTCTACCTGCCTCTGCTTCCTGAGTGCTGGAATGAAAGGCATGTGCCACCATGCTCACCATGGCTTATTATTTTTTAAAATAATTTATTGAGAATTTCATACAGGGATATAAACATATAAGGTGTTTTGATCAAATCCATAGCCATTCCCTCCCCTCCAACTCCTGCAATATCTCCCCATCACTTTTTTCTGATAACTTCATGTACTCTTTCTTCTTTTTTTTAATGGAGCTTTTTTGGTTGTAAGCCTGAGCGTTTAATGGTGGAGCTATCCCTCCAGCCCTACTTTTTTTGCTGCTCTAACATTCCCCTCTCTGAAGAGGTGACCCTAAAATCTTCTAAGGATTAGATACAAGCTCCCAAATACTTTCAACATTTTTGGCCTTTGGAACAGATTATGTTGCTAAGAGGCCCAAGGACATTTTGACTTTTAGCCAAGAAACTGGCTACTTTTCTTTGGGGTCTTTTTACCCTAACCTCCTAGCCAATTCCTACCTTCTATTCTTTTCGCACTGTTCTCTGAAGAGGTTACCCAGCTTACAGATAGGGAATTGGGTTGCTCTGGCTTCTTCCATGATGAACAGGGATGCAGGGTGAGGCAACTGGAGTACCCCTTCAGTGGGTCTATCTAAAAGACTCCTAAATTGCATAAATTTTATATCTAGGGGTAAAGGAAAGTCCTTGACTGGTGAATAGGAGATGTGAAGGAGAAGTAAAGGCAGTTCTAGCATTAAAGTTCTCGACAGGGAACTAGAAAAAAGTGAGAACAGGGCAAGTTTCAAATGTTCATAGGAGAGTCCATTGGAATTTCTTTACAAAGACTCCAGAGTGATGGATTCAGGATTTGCTTTCAGGCATTTTGAAAGCTGTTGGAGTCATTAGAATCAGTGTCAGTTCCCTTTCAAAGGCTTCTAGATAGGGGGAGAAAACAAATTTGGCCATCATTTTAGAACAATAGCTGGTTGTCTCCCTTAGCTACAGGTGGGCACTACAGTATTGCAGACCAAGATTTGAAGTCTTACATCTGAGCAGCACTTTCTGATTCAGAACATAATCATCAATGAGAGATAATTGTCTAAATAACTTTTTATATGAACTTAAGCCTAATGTCTGAGAAATGTAATCCCTTGAAATCTTAAAGAAATATACTGATCATTTTACTCTCTGTTTATACTTTCATTTTGGATGTTTAAGTCCATACAGTTGGCCCAAATAAATCAAGTTATATTTACATTTAAGGTTGTTTGAGGATCTGTTCCTCAGGGGTCACATGGGCTTGAGAGGAGCCCCTGGCCCCTTTCTTATACCAGTTCCATCTATGTGAAGATAAGTCAAAGGTCCTGCTCAACCATGGCTGCCTTCACTTGGAAGCATGGAAAAATTGTTTCTCTGAATTGACCCTCCTCTTTGTAGACTGGACACTGGTTCAAGTCAATCTGGTGGGGTCTCCATGGCCTCCCTGAAAAAGAGGACAGGTGATTCACCACAGTTACAGGACATTTTGAGAGATGGTCCATAGTCCCCTGGAACTAGTTGGCCTTGGAGGGCAAGGGGCAAAAACTGTCCTTTAAGTACTACTTTAGGGTGGTTTTAATTTACATTTTCCTAATCACTAACAATGTTGAACACTTTTTGAGATGTTTCTTAGCCATTTTTATTTCTTCCTTTAAGAACGCTCTGTTTAGATCTTTAGCCCATCTTTTAATTGGGTCATTTGGCTTCTTGATTCTTTGTTTTGTGAGTTCTTTATATATTCTGGATGTTAGACATCTGTCAGATGTGTCACTGGTGAAGATTTTTTCCCATCCTGTGGCTTTTCTCTTCACTTTATTGATTGTTTCTTTTTCTATACAGAAGATTTTTAATTTAATGAGGTCCCACTTGTTGATTGCTGACCTTAATTCCTGAGCAACTTTTGTCCGATTTAGAAAATCCTTTTCTACACCTATATTTTGTAAATTATTGCCAATATTTTCTTCTAATAGTTTCATGGTTTCCTGTTTCACATTGAGGTCTTTGATCCATTTGGAGTTGACGTTTGTGCAAGGTGAAAGATAAGGATCTAGTTTCATTCTTCTACAGGGCGAGAGCCAGTTTTGCCAGCACCATTTGTTGAAGATGCTGTCTTTCCTCCATTGTGTGTTCTTGGCACCTTTGTCAAATATCAGGTGGCTGAAATTGCATGTACTTGGGTTTGGGTCTTCAATGATGTTCCATTGATCTATGTGTCTATTTTTGTGCCAGTACCATGCTTTTTTTATGACTATAGCTCTGTAGTAACTTTGAGATCTGGTGTAATAATCCCCCCAGCACTGCTGTTTGTGCTCAGGGTTGCTTTGACTATTCGGGGTCTTTGTGATTCCATATGAATTTAAGGATTTTTTTCCCAATTCTGTGAAATATGTCATGGGGATTTTGATTGGGATTGCATTGAATCTATATATTGCTTTTGGTAGGATGGTCATTTTCACAATATTAATTCTTCCAATCCATGAGCATGGGAGGTCCTTCCATCTACTGGTGTCTTCCTCAATCTCTTTCTTTAAAGATTTAAAATTTTTCATTGTAGAGGTCTTTAATGTCTTTGGTCAGGTTTATTCCGAGATTTTTTTTTTTTTTGCAGCTATTGTGAAGGGGGGGGT